CGCTGCCGCTGCCGCTGCCGCTGCCGCTGCCGCTGCCGCTGCTGCTGCTGCTGCTGCTGCAGACGCCGCGCCGCCGCAGAATGGCGCCCTCCGCGAGCGCGCAGGGCCCCGCGGGCGGCGCTGCTGCTGCGAGTCGAGCAGCAGCAGCGCGGGAACACGTGCTGGCAGCAACGCGGGACTACCGCGTGGCCCCGCGGCTGGACTACCGCACAGTCGCTGCTGTGGAGGGGCCCCTCGTGATCCTGGACGACGTCAAGTTCCCCAAGTACTCCGAGATCGTCACGGTCCACCTCGGCGACGGAAGCACCCGCGAGGGCCAGGTCACCCCTGCTGCTGCTGCTGCTGCTGCTGCTGCTGGTAGTAGTAGTTGTTGCCCCCCCTATAGCCGCTCGTTGGAAGCGGCGCGCGCAGCCGCTGCCCCTCCCTGCTGCTGCTGGCGCTGCTGCTGGCGCTGCTGCTGGTAGTAGTAGTAGTAGTTGCCCCCCGCTATAGCCGCTCGTTGGAAGCGGCGCGCCGCTGCCTTCGGAGCAGCGGCGAGGCGGGGCTGGTGCGGGGCGGCGCAGGTGCTGGAGATAAAGGGACGGCGGGCGGTGGTGCAGGTGTTCGAGGGGACGGCGGGGATCGACAACCGGCGGTGCCACGCGGAGTTCCGCGGCGACGTGCTGAAGATGGGCGTGAGCGAGGAGCTGCTGGGGCGGGCGTTCGACGGAAGCGGGCGCGCGGTGGACCGCGGCCCGCGGGTGCTCGCGGAGGACTTCCTGGACCTGAACGGGTTTCCCATAAACCCGCAGTGCCGCGTGTTTCCGCGGGAAATGATCCAGACGGGGCTGAGCGCAATCGACGTGATGAACAGCGTGGTGCGCGGGCAGAAGATCCCGCTGTTCTCCGCGGCGGGGCTGCCGCACAACGAGATCGGCGCGCAGATCTGCAGGCAGGCGAGCCTGGTGGCGGGCAAGGACGTGCAGGACCACCACGGCGACAACTTCGCGGTGGTCTTCGGCGCGATGGGCGTCAACATGGAGACCGCGCGCTTCTTCCGCCAGGACTTCGAGGAGAACGGCAGCATGGAGCGCGTGTGTCTCTTCCTGAACCTGGCCAACGACCCCACCATCGAGCGCATCGTGACCCCGCGGCTGGCGCTCACCGCCGCCGAGTTCCTCGCCTTCGAGAAGGAGATGCACGTCTTCGTCATCCTCACGGACATGTCCGCCTACGCCGACGCCCTCCGCGAGGTCTCCGCCGCCAGGGAGGAGGTCCCCGGCAGGCGCGGCTACCCCGGCTACCTCTACACCGACTTGTCCTCCATCTACGAGCGCGCCGGCAGGGTCGAGGGGCGCGCCGGCTCCATCACGCAGTTTCCCATTCTCACCATGCCCAACGACGACATCACCCACCCCATCCCCGACCTCACGGGGTACATCACCGAGGGGCAGATCTTCGTCGACCGCGCCCTCCACAACCGCCAGATCTACCCCCCCATCAACGTCCTGCCTTCCCTCTCCAGGCTCATGAAGAGCGGCATTGGCAGGGGCATGACCCGCGACGACCACCCCGCCGTCTCCGACCAGGTCCGCTCCTGCTCTCCTGCTGCTCCGCTCCTGCTCTCCTGCTGCGCTGCTGCTGTCCTGCTGCGCTCCGCTGCTGCTGTCCTGCTGCGCTCCGCTGCTGCTGTCCTGCACCGCGCTCTCCGCCCGCTCCGTGTGCTGCTGCTGCTGCTGCTGCTGCTGCTGCTGCTGCTGCTGCTGCTGCTGCTGCTGCTGCTGCTGCTGCTGCTGCTGCTGCTGCTGCTGCTGCTGCTGCTGCTGCTGCTGCTGCTGCTGCTGCTGCTGCTGCTGCTGCTGCTGCTGCAGCTGTACGCGAACTACGCCATAGGGCAGGACACGCGGGCGATGAAGGCCGTGGTGGGGGAGGAGGCGCTCTCGGCGGACGACATGCTCTTCATGGAGTTCACCGACAAGTTCGAACGCCGCTTTCTGCAGCAGGGCCCTTACGAGGGCCGCGACATCTTCCAGAGCCTCGACATCGCCTGGGAGCTGCTGCGCACCTTCCCCGAAGACATGCTCAAGAAGATCCAGCAGCAGCTCCTCACCAAGTACTACCCCCGCACCAAGTACATCCAGGCCCAGGCTGCGGACAAGAGGCAGCCTCCCCAGCAGCAGTGACCTGCTGCTGCTGCCGCTGCAGCGGCAGCAGGGCGGTGGAGGGAACCGGAGATCTGCTCAAGAAGATCCAGCAGCAGCTCTGCTGCTGCTGCTGCTGCTGCAGCAGGTGGAGAGGTCCCTTAATTTAGCCTCAAGAAGACCCAGCAGCAGCTCCTCACCAAGTACTGTCCCAGTGTTGGATTCAGGCCCAGGCTGCAGACAGGAGGCAGCCTCCACAGCAACAGTGAGCTGCCGCTCGAGGCAGCAGCAGCAGCAGCAGCAGCAGCAGCATTAGCAGCTGTGGTGCTGCTTTGGTCTTTGTGTGTTGATTTCTGTTTCAGTTCCAGTTTCAGTGGTTTCGAACTGAAACGCCTATTTCAAAGCCGTGCTTTTGTCTTGCTGCTGCAGCACCAGCAGCAACAGCAGCAGCTGCTGCACAGCTGCTGCAGCAGAAGGCTGTTTCTCTTCCTATTTTCATTTTGCAGATCACTGCATTCATCCATCCGCCCTCTTAGGGCGAATACACATACTACTTCTTCTATATTCTCTATTACTCACATCCGAATGCTAATATATATATATCTACATCTACATGAAAATGTTCCACTTATGTTGTGAATGTAAATACATTTCCAGCGTTTCGGGCCACATTCAAAAAAGCCCCAAGAAACGCCCTCTGCGATATTTCAGCTAACGAGGCCTGCTGCACCATCAGCAGCAGCAGCAACAGCAACAGCAGCAGCAGCTGCTGCTGCTACTGCTACTGCTGTTGCAGTGCTGCGCAGCAGCGTCAAAGCGCCACACGCTTAGCCGCCTGCATTTTCGCAGCGGCTTTTGGCACGCGCAGGAGGCCGGTGCAGGAATCGCAATCAACTCCTCAGTTGATTAATTAATTCTGTTTAATTAATCAAAACAAATGCGAAATCTAATCCATTGTTTCACTAGCTTCAGAGAAACCAAAAAGAAAATAATTGCCCGCCGTCGACGCCGAAACTCGGGTTTCCAGTTTCCTTCACTCCCCACTTTTGCAAATTCAACACGCAGCGCCGTCGATTGTTCCAGAAACTTCGCATCACAGAATGAAAACTTCTTTTTGATTAAGCTGCTAAAAACAAGAAGAAATGAAAACAAACAATACAACTTTTCCGAAGATTCCCCCGAAACTTGAATTGAACCGGGAGCACGTACACCCCAGCAGATGCCAGCTTTCCGTTTTGCACAGCCGTGCAGAAGTTGAATTTTAAAAGTTGAAATGAGCAAGCTGTTTTATTTTTTGCTCGTTTATCGTTTATATCGCATTTGATTTGTTTGCAAATAGCTTTTCGCCTTCTTGTTTTCGCGCTTTCCTCAAACGCGAATATCGCATTTCGCTTCTTCACCAGAATGGCAGAACGGAACTCCCGGCGAAGACGAAGACGCCGGCTTTCCCCCTCCACCTTCCTTCTGCACATCCCCGGGGAATTCGACTGCGACGTCAGCGGCCCTTTGAGTCCTCTGCGGGCCCCCCGAAACCGGGATCGCCTCTTGTGGCTGTCAGAGGAAACCAGCGGCAGCGAACCAGCAGCAGCAGCAGCACCACCGCCAGAAGTAACAACAGCAACAGCAACAGCAGCAGCAGCAGCGGCGGCGGCGGCAGCAGCAGCAGCAGCAGAAGCGACGAAACCAGCCCTCTCCCCTAGCACAATGCAAGGGGCTGCAGGGTGGAGCGACAGCAGCAGCGGCGAAGGCGAAAGCCCTGGAGGAGATGCAGGCCCCAGGGGCCCCCCAGGAGGTCCCCCAGGTTTGCAGAACAGCACAATCTTCCAAGCCCTGAGCCAACAAGTGCTTTGCATTCAAGGCTACTACGCGAAAGAATTCGAGTCCCTGGCCTCCCCGCGCCCGCTGCTGCTGCCGCCCCCCATTTCTGCAGCAGCAGCAGCAGCAGCAGCAGCAGCGGCAGCAGCGGCAGCAGCGCCGTGCCCGCTGCTCTCCCGAGATGGCTACTGCATGCTATCGGCCTGCCCGTACAGCCACCTGGGCTTCTACCGGCACCACCAGCTGCAGCAGCAGCAGCAGCAGCAGCGGCAGCGGCAGCAGCAGCAGCAGCTGCTGCTGCTGCAGCAGCAGCACGAGGACGAGGAAGAAGACGACCGCAACAAGTGGCACCCGAGAGCAGCAGAACTTTCCCCTCGCCACGGAAATGCTCTTCCTTTGAATCCAAAAGAAATTCTTTTCAGAACTTCTGCACTTTTGCAAGACAAAGAACTCACTCTTATTCGAGTACCCCCGGAACAGTTTTACACGGTAAGTGCAGCAGCAGCAAATATCAACTTTTGCTTCTTGATCTTCTCCCAATTATGCAAATTTTGAATCTTCTAATTCTTTTCGTTCAAGTTTCTAAATGCCTTATCTTTTTCATTCTACTGGCCACTTCTGTGAATTTATTGAATTAATTTAATCAATTGAATTAATTTAAATTAATTCAATTAATTTATTCGAATTAATCATTTAATATCTTCCCAAATTCTGTCCAATCGAACGTATCATTCTTCTGAACGTGTTCTTCTTGAACTTGAATGACGCGAAGTCTTAAACTGAATTCTCGTTTTTCTTCAAGTTATTTTGCATCCATTTAATTAATTTTAAGAAACCATTTAATTTTGTTCTTTTTTTCATCGTATTCAATTTTCTGATCTTTTCGTTTTTGATGAAATGAAAGATGAACTTCTTCAGCTTCCTAATTATTTCCTTCTGAACTAATTGAATGCCTGAAGATCTTGAGTTTCCTGGATAATTTTTTTAAAATAAATTTACAATTTCATTTTCTTACTTCTCAATTTTTAATTATGTCCGCTTTTCTAGTTGTCATTGTCCCTGACATAAGTGAAACATCGAAAGTTCAACTTTCCGCCATTCACGTTCGTTTCTAGAGAAATAAAACATTTAATTTTCTTTTTTCCTCCATCCAGGCCTTGCTTGAATAAAATAAAGCATTTAAAATTATTTTAATAGGATAACAAATGATTTAATGATATTCAAACTCCTTATTCAACTTTTCGAAGAGCAAAGCCGTTCAATTTTCGCCTTTCTTCAGGACGTCTACTGCGGGGGCCGCCTGATGCGGGTTTTGGGCTATTCGACAATAAACTGGTTTGAAGAAACAATTGCAAGAATGGAGAAGGCCGAGAGCGCCGCCTCAGGCACGCAAGCAGCGGCAGCAGCAGCAGCAGAAGCAGAAGCAGCAGCAGCAGCAGGAGGAGAAGCAGCAGCAGCAGCAGGAGCAGCAGCAGGGGAGGAGGGGCTCGCTGCCACGCTGTGCAAGCCCTGCCGCTACGCAGAGAAGATCAAAACTCTGGCGAGGCTCGTGCAGAAGCTGCTGCTGCAGGCGCGAGAGCAGCAGCAGCCGCGCTTTTGCTCCTACTTCGTATACTTGCAGCTGCGGCGGTGGCTGGTGCGGCTGCGGGACCGAACGGTAAGAGGGATTTGCGTCTTTTCCTCGACTCAATGATCCTTTGAAAGAGAGCCCCTTCTGCTGCTGCTGCTGCTGCTGCTGTTTTGCTGCAGCTCCTAGACCTGCACCCCTGCCCCTTCAAGAGGCAGTGCCACATCGAGACTATTCCAACTCTTCATGCTGCTCTCCACCAGCTTGAGAAAGGCGCGTTCTTGCTGGGCCCCCAGTACGGCCGGCAGCAGCAGCAGCAGCTGCTGCTGCAGCAACAGCAGCAGCAGCAGCAGCTGCTGCTGCAGCAGCAGCAGTTTTTCAGCTTGCCTCCCCCTTGTCAGCCCGGAGAGCCGCCGGGTCCCCGCATGTCCCTCCCTGAGCTGCGCGCAGCAGCAGCAGCAGCAGCAGCAGCAGCAGCCCGGGGGGCCCCGCCGCTGCCCGCGCTGCTGCGGCACCACGCGGGGGCCCTCAAAGAAGCCCGGGGGGCCCTCGACTCTCCCCGAGGCAGCGAAGACACTGACAGCTTTTTTTGTGGCAGCGTCGTGGCAGAAGAGGAGTTTTTGGGTTCCCTCAGGGTCACCGTCAGCAGCAGCAGCAGCAGCAGCAGCAGCAGCAGCAGCAGCAGCAGCAGCAGCAGCAGCAGCAGCAGCAGCAGCAGCAGCAGCAGCAGCAGCAGCAGCGGCGGCGGCTGGCCGCTCAAGACCTACGCCGTTGAAGACCTGCAGCTGTGAAGCGGCGGAGCTGCAGCTGCTCAAGAGAATATTTAAAGATTTTACTTTTCAAAATGCCATTTTATTTAAATAATTGCAATTCATTTAACTTATGCCGTTTCATTCAATCGGGACAATTCACTCAACTAATGCCATTTAATTCAAAAACGTTTTTGCAAATAAAACCACTCTATTAAACTTCAAAAATGCCATTTAATCGAAACTACTCTGCCATTTTATTCAAATAATTCATTTTTAATTGCTGCAATTCAATTTTATTTTTTAAAATTCATTTTATTTGAATTATTTCATTTCTTGATGGCCATCGATCTGCTGCTGCTGCGGAATTAAAAAGAAAAATAAAAAGTTTGAAAAAGGAAAAAGAAATAAAAGAATTGAAAAGCAATTGAAGAGAAGAATTGAAAAGAAGGGGAAAGAAGAAAAAAGAATTGGAAATGATGTTTCTGGAAATGAAGAATTCAAGCAAAGATTTCAAAGAGAAGAATGAAAAGAAGAATCAAAATGAAGAATTAAAAGAGGGGAAGAATTAAAAGAATGATTAGGAAGGAGAATTGAAAGGAAGAAATAAAGAAAAGAAAAGACTTCAAATGGAAGAATTAAAAGAATTGAGAAGGAGAAATAAAAGAAAAATTAAAAAGAAGAAAAGAATCAAAAAAGATTCAAAAGAAGAATTGAATAAAGTTAAAATGAATGAATTAAAGAGAAGAAGTAAACGAAATAATTGAACAAAAGAATTTTAAAAACAATACTAATTTAAAAAATTGAATTGACTAAAAAAGAGAAATAACAAATTAGTTACAAGAGATAAATAAAAAATAATAAAACAAATGAAATTTAAATTTAAATTTAAATTTAAATTTAAATTAATAAAGAAATGGGAGAACTCGAAATAAGTAAACGAAAAAATAAAACTGAGTTTGAATGAAATGAAAGATTTAGAACTTAATCGTAGAAAGAAATAGAATTAAATAAAAAATTAAATAACGTGAAATTAAGAGTTAAAGGGAGAAATGAATAAATTATACAAAATAATTAAAATGAAGCACATATAGAGTAAATAATAAAATAAAGTAGTAAAAGAACTAAACAATAATTAGATAAAAGAACTAACTAAAAGAGTTAAATAAAGGAATTAAATAAAAGAATTAAATAAAGGGATTAAATAAAGGGGTTAAATAAAAGAATTAAATAGAGGAATTAAATAAAAGAATTAAGTAAAAGAATTAGGTAAAAGAATTAAGTAAAAGAATTAAGTAAGAATGAAATAGAGAATCAAATAAAAGAATTAAAATGAAGGATTAAAAGAATTAAAAAAGAATTAAAAGAATTAAAAAAAGACATAAAAGAATGAAACAGAGAATTGAAGACAAGAAGATAAGAAAATCGAAAATGAAAAGTGAAAAATGGAAGAAAAGCAACAAAAAGATGAAACAGGGTGAAATAAAATAAAATAAAAAATAAATAAAGTAAATAAAATAAAGTAAAATAAAGGAGGTGAAGATAGTGAGAGATAAATGAATGAACGAAATTAAAAATAAAACAATTCAAGAAGAATTGAAATTAAAACTAAAATTAAAATTAAAACAAATGAATAAAAGAAGAAAATAAAAGAATGAAAGCAAATGAACGATATTAGAAACAAATAAAAGAAATAAAATAAAAATGTAAAAATATAAAAAGTGTAAAGGTAAATAAAACAAATTTGAAAACTCCAAAATAAATCGAGTAAGAAATAAAAATAAATTTAAAAATAAACTTGAAAACAAAAGACAAGTGAAGAGGCCCAGACACTTCGATGTAAATAATTGAACTAATATAATTAAATAAATAAAAGAAATAAATTAATTGATGAACGAACTAATTAATAAACTATGTAAACAAATAAAAGTTCAAATAAGTAAAAATAAATAAATTGTAATTAAAAATAAAGAAATGGTAAATGAAGAAAATGACAAAAAGGTCCATCTGGCTTTTTGTTCATAATAGTTTCTGAAAAGAAAAAAAAGCTTTAGAGCTGTAGCTGCTGTTGCTGTTGCTGCTGCTGCTGCAGCTCCTGCTGCAGCAGCAGCTGTTGCAGCAATATTTGACTGGAGTGTGGTTGCTGCTGCTACAACAACCAGAATTCTGTCTGCTGCAGCAGCAGCAGCAGCTGCTGCTGCTGCTGCTGCTGCAGACAGCAGCAGCTGAATTGCTGCCACGCCGGCTGGCTGCTGCAGCAGCAGGAATCACGAAGAACTTGTAGTGTTGCTTCTGCTGCTGCTTCTGCTGCTGCTGCTGCTTCTCCTGCTGCTGCTGCTGCTTCTGGTGCTTCTGTTATTGCTGCTGCTGCTTTTGCTGCAGTTCCTGCTTCTGCCGCAGCTTCTGCAGCTGCTTCTGCTGCTGCTGCAGCAGCAGCAGCAGCAGCAGCAGCAACTCGTGGGTTTATCTGGCTTCGTATTGCATCACTGCAAATAAAAATTCAAAATTGCAGCTTAAAGTGTTTTGTTTAATTACATTTTCTTTTTTAATTTTATTTATTTTTTTAATTTAATTTACTTTTTAAATTTAACTTAAATTCAGATTTGATTACTTCTTTTAATTAATTTCTATTTCTAAGTAAATTATTTTCAATTTTTATTCTTTAATTTAATTCATTTTGTTTTAATTTCTTCTAATTCTTTGTGATTTAATTATTCTATTTTTCATTTCAGTTATGTCGATTCTTTTTAATGCCTTTTAACTTCTTTTTATTCTTTTCAATTCCTTTTCCTTTTAAATCTTTTTAATTATTTATTTTAAATTATTTTAAATTAACTATTCTTAATTATGTTTAATTAAAAGAATTAAAAGAAATAAAAAAGCTGAAGAAGCAATTGATCTTCTTTAAATCCCCTCCTAATCTCTTTTAATTATTTTTAAATCCTTTTAAACCCTTTCAAAACCCTCTAAACCCTTTCAAAACCCTCTAAACCCTTCTAAACTCTCTAAGCCCTTTCAAAACCCTCTAAACCCTTCTAAATCCTCTAAACCCTTTCAAAACCCTCCAAACCCTTTCGAAACCTTCTAAACCCTTCTAAACTCTTGTAGAACCTTTTGAACATTTCTAAACCCTTCTAAAACCCTTCTAAACCCTTCCAAACCCTTTTAAAGTCCTTCTTGTTCTCTAAACCCTTCTAAACCCTTCTAAATCCCCTCAAACCCTCCTGAACCCTTCCAAACCCTTCTAAACCCTTTTAAACGCCTTTAAACTCTTTCAAACCCTTTCAGACTCCCTTAAACCCTTCCAAACCCTTTCAAACCCTTCTAAAACCCCCTTAGTCCTTTAAACCCTTTTGAACCCTTTTAAACCCCTTTAAACCCTTTTAAACTCTTTCAAACGCCCTCAAACCCTTTTAAACCCTTTGAAACCCTTCCAAACCCTTTTTCTTCTTTGATTTCTTTAATTGTCTAAACCCTTTTTAATTCCTTTAATCCTTTAAACCCTCTTTTACTGATTTAACTTCTTCAAATTCCTTTTAATTATTTAAATCCTCTTTTATTTATTTCCGTTTCTTTTTAATTGTTTAAAGCCCCTTTTAATTATTTAAAACTTTCTTTAATTATTTAATTTCCTTTTAACTATTGAAGTCCTTATATGAATCCTTTCCAACGATTTAAATTCTTTTTAATTATTTAAATGATTTAAATGATTTTTAATTATTTAGATCATTTAACTTCTTTTTAATTAAATTATTTAAATTCCTTTCAATTACATTATTTAAATACTTTTTAATTAAATTATTTAAATTCTTTTTAATTAAATTATCTAAATTCTTTTTAATTAAATAGTTTAAATACTTTTTAATTAAATTATTTGAATTCTTTTTAATTATTTGAATTCTGAATTTGAACTTCTCACTTTTTCGCGATCTTTTTTTGTAAAGAATTCTGCTGCCGCAGCTGCGGCAGCGGACAGCAGCTGTTGGCTGCAGCGACACGTCGCAGCCGCACTCTGCAGCAGCAGCAGCAGCAGCAGCAGCAGTAGCAGCAGCAGTTGTGGGGGGGCATAGAAGGTTTGAAAAGGAGTTTATTTTGTTTAAGTTGTCTAAGTTTATTAACTGAAAAACTCAGAATTTATTTTTATACTTCATTGCAAGTGCAACAAAGACACCCGGTGTCGAGATACCCCGCAGCAGCAGCAGGAGCAGCAGCAGCAGCACCAGGAGCAGCAGCAGCAGCAAGAAGCAGCAAATTGAAAAAAGAGTTTTAAATAACAAGATTTGATTTCAATTTATTTTAGTTGACTAATTCAAAAGCATTGCGTTTAAGAAGGAAGAAAGAATAGCGCAAGTGGATTTTAAATCCATTGAGACTGCAGCAGCAGCAGCAGCAGCAACAGCAGCAGCAGCAGGCCAAGAAAATTTATTCAATCCAGTTCTCGGAAACAAATTAGGGTTTCGAGGCTCGAGGGTTTCGCCTCAACCAACTGCTCTACAGATGGCGCACGCAAGGGTTTAGGGTTTAGGGTTTAGGGCTTGAGGACTGCAGCGCCAAGTGGCTCACTTCGGAGATCTTAGGGCTTAGGGTTTGCACCAGGCCTAGGGTTTAGGGTTTAGGGTTTAGGGTTTTCGCTTGCCTCCACAGATGTAAGTCACAGGCTCCAGCTGAGTGTTCGTATCGTCGATATCCATTTTCGGCGCTGCTGTTGCTGCTGCT